TCTTTAATCTATTTGCCCAAATGTCCATTCACTCATTGTTCCATAAAAATGTCAAATTATCAAGATTTTCAGCATTGCAGATAGAAGTCTGAAGGAAGAAGAGCAATCAAGAAAAATTATTTAACCTTCTTACAACTATGACCATCCAGTTCTCAGAGTTTTGCTCTGCACAATTCAGGATCCAATCCAATTGGTTTTTCATGGATTAACTTTTCCATGATTTGAAAATATGGCTTTTGAATTGTCATCAATTGGTTTACCCATTGCAGGCTACCAAGTTTAAAAAACATGTTATATCATATTTATGTTATGATCACATAAATATTTTTGTATGTCGGATGAATACATGTCTAATTAATATGGCCTTCTAGTTCAGGATAAGATTCCAACATAGTGAAATGCGCTCAATTATTTGTATTTTCCTATTCTTACATTAATTCTACTATTGCTTAAAATAAACAGTAGTTTAAGTGGCATATATCTCAATTACTTTTATTTAACTAGTTTAATGTTTTTGTTCTATTTCGTGTAGCAGGAAATTGAAAATCTGAATCACACTGTATAAACCAATATTCAAATATTTATAAAGTTGGCCAGTACCAGGAAGAGTATATAACTATTTATATCTATCACTACTTCTGGGACCAATGTCTCATTCAAAGGTCTTAGATTACTTTCTTGTGACTACTTTTGCCAAAAAAAAAAAAAAAATTGCAAAGACTAATGCTTTAACATAGAAAGTGTACACAAAGTCATTTACAAGCTGAGTCACCCTAAAGTACTGCATATTAACATATAGGATTATAAACAAGCTCTTGAAATACTGTAATTTGTTATGTGATACAATGTGATAGCAGCAAACTAACTTAGTACCACAGAAAATGAGATCTGGTTCTTAGACCAAATGCTTTGCAATACTCTTCTTGGTAAAAGCTATACACCTTCCTTCAGTAAAAATGTATTCAGGAATTAAACTGTGGGACATAACAGAAATTGGGAGGTGAGAAAGATGCCATGAAATTAAGCTATAGAGATCACAGCAAATTACAAAATTCTATAATAAAGAGGATGCAGTTGTTCAGAGATCTTACGTAGTGACTCTTTACACTCACTGCTATAAAAGCAAACAACATAGTGATTCAATATTCTTAGCACAAAACCTCCTCCCGCCTTCCTCCTAGTCTTCCAGAAATGTTGAATATTTTGTCAATTGATTTAGCTTGAAGCTTCTAGCATTCACAAATAATATTAAAAGAATTATTTAGCAAAAAAAAAAAGGTGTTTCCCAAATGACACAAGCAGCAATCTCTGTCTAATTCTCTGAAGATAGTTGCTTCTACTGCTGCATTTTGTAAAGAAAAAGGAAAATCTTCATGTGATTTAGTACCGCATGAGGTTTGGTCCCAAGATAAACTAAACATTCTGTTAACTGGAACTGAAATAAAGGTTATATGCTTTCAGTATAAGTATCTCACTGTACAGGTTCTACATGTTAAGACCAATGTTGCCAGTCCTTTTTCAACACCAGCATGTCTACATTTCATCACTTACTTTGCAGACTTCCTGCATTTATTTATTTCTCCCATTACAGATTTGTTATCACAGAAAAAAGAAGAAATATTCTGCTAGAAGGCATCCCCCTCCATCCCCATGACTTCAGATGAGGGAGAGGGTATTCTAGGTATGATACGAAACATATATAAAACTATAACACCTTATATCAGCAAAGTTTATGGATACACTAGTATAGAACTCTTTAATGAACTAAGAAATCTTAAAATGCCAAAAAAAGAATCCTTAGATAATATAGCATATCTTATGCTGTTTTTAGAAATTAAATTTCTGCAAATTTACTGCAACAGGAACTTCATTGAAAATAAAATGAACCAAAATGGGAATGTGACTCATTCTTACAACACACTTCAAAGAATACTATAGAAAAGGAACTGGGAAGTGGGAAATATTCTAAAGCAATGGAAAACTACATAAGAGCTAAGTGGAAACTGATCATTTACACTAAGTAACAGGTAAAATCAAGAAGAATGAGGTAAGACTCAAAATATTTTCATAGACAGATGCTCTTTCATCATCCAAGTAATCCACCAAGCTTCCATGTCATTTTTTTGAAAAAAATAAAATAAATCCGTTGTCAAAGCCATTAACAGTTGTTGAAAAGTTATTCTGAAATTGTTTTAAGACTTATGTGGCAGCTACAATTCTTGCCATCCTCTTCTTGATTTTTATCCTTCTGTTGATCTTTCAGGTTCAAATGTCTGAATGTTTTCAGGAATTGAGTGCAGTAATGAATGAATCTCAGTGGCATTGTAAATTTGGGATAATATTCATCACCAATGAGTTTATATAAACTTTTGCTGAAAGGCTCTATCTCCTCCATCAATACATGCAAAGCTTCACCAATGGTTGGTTCATTACAAATTCCATAGCATTTACAAAATTTCTACAGCCATCAATGGTTTTGAAACTTACAGTATATTTATGTGGTTTCCTACAATACTATTTATTTCATTCTGTGTACATTAATGCCACGTGAATGTTGCTGAACATACCACTTCACTATTCATCAAATTATCTTTCCTATTTTCACTCGTTTCCTTGCTAACATCTATACCTTACTGCAATACATACTTCTGCAGCTTTTCTTTTGTGTTCTGAATATCTGAAGTAGCATACTTCTGACAAACACCATGTTCCTGACAAACATATGCAATGGGCACTTCTAATTTTTCAAGCAAATCTAGGATTTTATACTCAAATTTACATTTTTTTTTCTACTTACTTTTGAGGCCTTTCAAACCATAAAAGAACTGCAAGCACCGACAGTTTGAGATCTTTTCCCTCCCACCTTTAAAACCAACACTCTGAGATTGCTCATTTTCTATCTCCAGAATTGCTAAATTTACATCCCGCCCCCCCCTCCCCCCACTTAAGACACCAACAGCATACACCAGTACCATATTCCAATATGGCCAACAGAATGATATACATTTCAAGCACAGCAGGAAAAAAAAAACACTAACATCTGGAGACACAACCAGTGTCTGGACTGCTTCAGACACCACAGACTTTGTCCAGTTTGGTTGGGTAAGGTGTGAACTATGCACTATGCTATGAACAGCAGAAGACAAAATAATTATCTGCTTGAATACTGCATCAGTGTTATAGTGAAACTATACAGTATTCTGAATATATAACATAAACTGATTTAACTACACAGAACTATAATTTAAGGTAAAACAAATGGCATTCAAAATTATGGAGCAACAATATCCCTAATCAAAAGATTTTACCACAAAATAATTACATTTTTTCACAAAGGAAATTCTAACCTAAATACATGATTGTTTATCCTGGAATTTGAATTAAAAAGATTATTTCCCATTTCTAAAAACCTGAAAGGGTCACATATTCAGGAAGAAACATTACCTGAGCATACACTTGTATTTCCTTTGTGGATCACTAACTTTTTAGTCTGCTAAGAAGCTTGAAGAAATGAAGTGGACTAGAAGATCACTTCAGTAAATTCAATTAATTATATAAATGATTATTAGTTAAAAATAATAAAACTACACAACTATTACAATATACAACTTTCCAAATCCACCATAAAAATAATTATCAGTGCAAAGGTAAGTGAATCAGATAAAAGAACTAAAACCAACTCCCTAAAGTCAGAAACATAATAAATAATAAAACTACACAACTATTACAATATACAACTTTCCAAATCCACCATAAAAATAATTATCAGTGCAAAGGTAAGTGAATCAGATAAAAGAACTAAAACCAACTCCCTAAAGTCAGAAACATAATCATAAGGAAAAATAATGAAATGATGGTAAAACAATGGCAAGAAAGTTTGGGAAAACTATTTGTAGTCCTATTATGTTGCAGTGATGGTAACAAAATTTTTTTTTTCTTCCTAGCATTTTCCCACAGGTGCAGGGTCCATTTTTTTTTTTTTTTTTTTTCTGGATCAACCAAATGTTGATCCCTTGGTTGCGACAAGAATTTATCCTCTGGCTTATCACCTGAGCCTGACATCATGGCCTGAGAGTGACTGGCTCAAAGACAGACGGCTTTCATGCTTAAGGCAGGACTAGAACTCAGTCTCCTGGTTTCTAGCCTGGTGCCTTAACCACGAGACCAAACTGGTTCTGGTAACAGAGAGAGAAAGGGAGAGGGGGAGGGAGAGAGAGAGAGTGCTCTAATCACAGTAGATTCTGAGCAGTATACATACCTATTAACAGCAACTGAATTAAAAATAATACATACAAATATGGTTCAAAATAGTTTTTCAGGTAAGATTAATTTGAATTTCACTCTAAGAGGTCACGGCAATGCTTCCTTCAAACAAATATGCAGACAAGATGTTGTAAGATACACTCTATATAATTTAGATACTTACGTTTTAATGTTGCTATTGCTGACAATAAGGCAGATCTTAGCAGAAAATTGTCCCAGATAATCAGCATTTCTCTACTAGAGAGTTGGATTTCTCTTCTAGTAGGATATTGTGATATGCTTATTTATTTTTTAATTATCATTAGACATGAAATGGCTTGGCCAGTTTTAGAACTATATTCATTTTCTCTCTGGGAAGAAGGCTGTGCAGTATAACTAAATAATTTCTGAATGATTAGATGTAAATTTTCTTTTGATTCTTTTCAAACTTCCTTCCAACTTGGATACAGGACAAAGGTTACTTTGATAGATTTGATTCATGACATCTGTTTTGAGATTCCCTACAAAATTTTCTCAAATGATCCCGCTAGGTCTTTTGACAAGTTTTCATATCATAACCATATCTAACTTTGTAGGTAAACTACATTTCTTATCAGTTACTGGATACTGCTCAAAATTCAGTGTAAGATTGCCTCCTCTCAAGATTGTATATATGCCCATTTTTAATGAAGCAATTATGTATTTCATTTGTGACAAAATATTACAGAATATAAAAAAAGAACCTAGTACAATAAGAACCTCAAATATATGTTACAGAATAGAATATTATGTCTATATTATAATCTGTGGTTTATATTTTGAAAAATGCTTGTCTACTTTGAAAATAAATTCCAACTTACCTGTCCTTTTTGAGGTGCTAAAAATTCAACAACTTCTTCAACCATAACTGATTTATGTAATTGTTGACTATCTTCACTGTTTATTCCATCCTGTGAGTTTTCACCAATACTGAAATGCAATGATTTCTCTTCAGCTTCACATGTACTTGCTAATGAAGAATGTATGCATTTTACTGACATACCTAAGCAATTTGGGCTAGAATGACTTAAAGTGTGCAAACTAAATTGATTGCAGATTTTTTGTAAATAAGGAAGCCAAAGCATGTTGGAAATACAGTTGCTTGAAGGACAGGGTGTAAATACTAGTAACAGATTAGTACATACATCAATCTGAAAAAAAGCATCAGAAATCGAAATTAGTTTATACAATATGATCAACAGGAAAGAAGAACCATAATGAAATTGCCATGGAAAGCTTTTGGTGCTAGCAAGTGTTATCTGGGGCTATTTAATACTACTGCTAATCCTTCTAAGTAATTCAAAAGTTTAAGTTTACATTTGTTAAAAAAGAGCACATTGAAAATAATTTATCAGAATCAAATAATTACAGTCACAATTCTAAAGATAATTAAGAAACCTTAAGTATAGTATGCCATCTCATTATGGATACTTTTTGGTTTATAGTAACTCCACAGCTATAGAATTCTCTCCTTGGGGAGCTCTAGATCTCATACATCTTTTGAAAACGTTTTTTTTTTTTATTTCACAAGGTATTCTATTAGTAATGTTTGTGTTCTTATAAATGTACTGATATTGTTCCCTCAGCTTATTTTTTATAGATTTATCACCATTTTCTTACGTGCATTATTTATTTTTATCATTTATAACCCACTTCCTTCCCACGAGACACTCAGAGTGGTTAACAATAAAACAGTTTCATACAATCAGTTCAAACCATTATTAAAATTATCCAAACTTTAAAATGCTGGCTGAAAAGAGAAGTCTTGACTTCTTGCCTAAAAATTAAAAAAAAAAAAAACTTAGAGCTGAGTACAAGTTGCCTTGGTTTTTTAAAAATGCTATTGCGAGTTATGAATGAAAATAGATGAGGAGGATCAACAATTATCTAGTCCATATAATATTCTACCAATTAAGCAGCCACATAATCATGGCCACATAGGACAAGAACATATTAGCAGCTGCTACCTAATTCCCTTGCAACACATAGTCAGAAGAATTACTAATAGCGTGGCTAATATTTATTAATGCAATAGCCACTGATTTAAAAAATATGAAGGAGAAAGCTAATTCCCCTGTAAAATAATCCAAATTGATGGTTATCACTATCGCCTTCTGATTTAAAAAAATCCATATTTTATATGGTATTTCCTTTAATCTATCTGGAATCTTCCTCCACTGAGTTCAATGAATGACCCAAGAAAAACTTCTCCCTATTTTCCAAACTGTATATAATTTAATAGATCATTATCATAACTCCTCTCACTTTGTCTTAAACGCACTTAACTGATGGGATGTGATTTATAACTTCCCCATCAGTGAAAAAGATTTTATTTATACTCAAGGAAGAGAAAGAGCATGCAAAAATTATAAGAGTAGAAATAGTCAAAGTCTTTTTATGTATCTACAATAAAGCAGATTCCAGCTGCAATAGAAGTTTTAAGCAAATAGAGGGTATTTATGTGAATGTGCAACGTGTCCCATCCAAACATTCTTGAAAAGAACAGGAATAATTAAATACAGGCAGTCCCCAGTTAAAAGCAAGTTCCATTCCCAAAATCTGTCCTTAAATTGAATTTGTATGTAAGCTGGAGCAATATTATTGTATAATACTGTATAAGTAGTATTGTGTATTTAACTTGAATCATTGTGTGCTTAACTTGAATTTTGTTACAATAGGCTCCTTTCTTAACTATAGGTTGTCCTTAAACTGGGTATTCTTAACCCAGGGACTACCTGTAGAAGTAATTGTAAGGGACCCATAAATAGTCCTCTTGCTTTTCAGGAATTCATTTTTAATGTCATCCTGTTATGTGGTCATAAAATGCATGCCAAGTGAAAGGATGCTGAAAAAATATTTGGAAAGAGTCAGTTGTTGACAGAGGGAGAAGAGAAAAAAAGCTGCTATTTGACTAAATTAAGTCATTTGAAGATGAGTTTGTGTATTCACAGTTACAACTGTTGTGTCAACTGCTTTTAACCAATAAAATACACAAGTCTCATAATCATTCAATTCCAGAGTGACTGCCAATTGCCTCATTTCGCCCATAATTAAGAAGTGTGTTTGACACTTTATTAGCGCTGAGAAGGGATCCTGTGTTTGGGTTTAACACTGTTTGGGGAGTATCATTTATTGATCTATGCCTCCATTATTTTTGCAAGCGAATTTTAATTTGGCAGGTGCTTTTAAGACCCTCAGCAAAAAAACACTTTCTCGTAAACGCAGAAAAGAGATAGCTGGCGTTATTCACTGGAGACCAGGGAAGGAAGGGGTGGGGGAATACCTGACCATCATCGCCATTTCCTTTGCAATTAAGACTCCTAAGGGAAGGATATTTTATTGTGGGATTAGAAATGTATGCGTCCGAAGAACACCACGAACCTTCTCTCCCCCAAACGCTTGCTTGTCTCACCAGTCCCAGGTTTTAGGGAGACTTCATTTCTAAGGCGGTCCTCACGGCGTTGGATGAGACTTCCGCCTCTCAGGTCCTTCGTTGCAGCTGGGGGAGGGGGGGCAGGTGGGCTGCCAAAAGGCTTCCTCCTTGCAACAAAGCCTCGCCGCTTTCAGTTCCACTTTCCCAAAGAGAGCAACAAACTAAATAAAATATTGTGCAATTATTGATTTATTTGGTGAAAGGGGCCAACGCTTATGGAACGAGGTATCATTCTTGTCTGACCCCTCTCTCCACGTTTGAAAATTGCTACATTTTCAGGCACAAATACAAATGCACCTACTTTAAATTCGTGCAGGTTGTAAATTACAATTAGCCACGCGCTCTTATATTGACAAAAACTCCATAAATTCGGCAGGACTGACTTCCGAATTAACAGGTGTTCGATAGGGCTCCACACGTTCAGCGTCTGCTAGATTTCTTTCCTCTCCTTCCCTCCCCTCATGCCATTAACTCCCTTCAATTTGCGTAAGCATTCTTTATTTTTATCTTAGATGTTCCCATATTATAACTGGCCAACCCAAATCAATATGTGATAGGATAATCACCAGCAGACACATAGCACATATTTTATTAGTCCTCAATATTCCTGGAACATATTTTATTCTATGCTGGGTGTCCTGGGGGAAGGGGTAGATGAAGTGAAAGAATGTTATTCGATAGATATTTATGACTGCTTGTAAGTAAGCTATTTTTTCCAAGGATAAAAACAAAAGCCACCCCCCCCCCCATTGACTGACCATATCATGCTGCAACAATATCCGGTTAGGGGCCCTCGCCATCACTCTCATGCACGAACACAGTTCTAATGGGTAAAACAGCCAAACTATAGATGCACTCATAAAGCCTCAATTTCACGAACGTACAATTAAACCTAAGTATATTATCCAAGTCTTATATCCCCAATACCTCTGACGACTGCCAGCTGAAGAATAAATAATCTGAAATGATCGTGTTGAACTGGTTTATAAAAAAGCTCCTGTTATAAACCCATTCACCAACTGTCCCCCCAGCTACTTATATACAAATAGCTACTATTCTCCCCCTTCACACTAATGTACTAACACTATCATTCCCTCCCCAACTCCCTATTAACTATTTCAGAGCGACAACCGCTATTCGAGCTATCCGAGGTGTGGTATATATTTGTAGTAGGAGAATACCTCGCCCGTAGTAAACAGAATGCGGGGAAGGCCGTTAGTTATGGGCTGAAAAGCAGTGAGTAAAGGGTTAAAGCACACAACGCAGTCACAGACTCCTCTGCTGCTTTCCTTTTCTTTTTCTAATAAATGTACCCTTCAGATCGAGCCACGTGTCTGTCATACAACACATACTTTGGATTCCAGTGCTCTTGCAGCGACCATAGAATCATATAGCTTCAAGGGTATCGCTCTTCAAATTAAAACGCATGCAATCCATCAACAAGCCTATACGTGCTTCAACTCAGAAACTTCCTAAGTAGTAGACGAAACACCCCGCCCTTCAGCAAACTAACGGGCAACCTCTTCAGTCCGTAGAGAAATGGCTTAAAGTCACCTACACCTTAAAGAGACATGCAGACTAAGAATTCAGTGCGAGTAGGGCCACAACCCAATTAGGAATAATTCCCACTTTTGAGTCACTATAATTAGGATTCTGGGGTAAACTATGCCACTTAACAAATTACGGAAACAAGATTGATTTTTGCTTCTGAGCTACACGCAAGTCCATATTCTACGTGATCTGTCCATCGAATGAAAGGATAGAACGATTACATTGAAGCGACACCAGCCTAAGAGTTATTTCATTTATCTGTTTTCATTTAGCTCATTCCAAAAAATCACCTTCTTCAGCACGTTCTTTATTAATCCTTCTAAGGTGATCTTTGGCCTCCCCCTGGGTCCTTGCGAAAAACAGAACAAAAAACAAAACTAAAGCAACCCGTTCCTGTTTTGAAAGCCCATCTTCTCCTCTCTTCTTGCTTCCACGATTCCCTTTATTCAAGATTCTAACTTCCCCGTTCCATCCATAGAGACAAGTATCCTAGCTTTCCCTTCGCTAGAAAGACAGCTCAAGCATGTTTAGAGTGTAAGGAAAGACGGGTCCTCGTTTAGACCAAAATTCATACTCCATCCCGTCAGCCGCGTGGCGGCAACTATGACGTTTCTCAGTCCTAAACCAATCAGAAGTGACCGACCTACAAGCCGCTTGTGTTTGAATTTGGTGGCTGGCTGAACTAAGGAAGCTGAGCGGCGTCGACGCCTTAGCAAGTTGTGCGGAGCTGGCGGTCGGTAAAAGGGCGCTTGATGTTCGAGTGACTAATTGTATGTATGTTTACGAGAGAGTGAATCTGATAAACCTAAATGGGTCCGATAGATAATATATAACGGATCAGTTCGAATACCTTTAATAGTTAGCTGTTGCTAAAGTAGGGAGGGAGATGATCAGCTCTCTGCAACTATCGGACGGGCCATGTTTTCTTAACTCCACAGCAAACGATCGTGGTTCCTGGCAGTAACTCCTATTAAAAAGGGGGGAGGGGAAAACAAACACTGCTTACTTACGTGGATTAAGGCCGGAACTTCGACTTACTTCTAAATACGCAGGCGTGACATTATACCTATCGAGTGTAATGGGACTTTCGTCTTGAGTGTACACGCATAGGGTAGAAAAATAGCAAAATCTGTTGGTAATAAAATATCTTCAAGTGAGCAGCCAGGAACCCTATCCTACTTTCAAGATTTAAAACATATAAAACTGCAGGGACTTCCAGGCTGTCGCCAGGAGTCAACATTGACTCGAATTACGATGTTTTTAAATTGTATGCTGTTTCTGCAGTTTTTCAGTTACTGCAAAACAAAACGATTGCTGCTTTGTTCTGTAAAGAAGATTGACTGTAGCAAAGTGGAATCTGAAAGAAGTGACCTCAAAAACTTTTCTGTTGCAGACTTTATTTCCTTGACTGATCGCCGGTATGAGTGAAACCATACTGTAATTGCCTTCTAATACATACAGCAGTTTAGCCTGAAATGTGTGATCAAGTGCTAAGATTTAACTTAAAGCCATACCTAGCATTTAAGATGATATTTAGGACCATAAGACTGTTACTTGAGAATAAGTTCCATTGAATTCAGTAGAACTGCATCATAGCTTGCTGAGCAAACTTAAATGCCACCCACTTCCTTAACAGTTCTTGGTACTTTACAAAAAATACAATAGAAAAATTATAAAAAAACAAAAACATTAAACAATATGAATTAAGAAATCTTATATTTTTCTAAACAATATTTTGTTAACAAAGAATTTATTAGAGCTGCGAAGATAAACAAGATGATATATCTGCTTGTACTAGTTACATTTTTTGTTGTGCTTGAAAAGGTGTACATAAGGATATTACAGAAATGATAGTGTGCTATGAAGTATATCTGCTGAGATGATTTTAAAGTCCAGGCTCTCACCCCTCAAAATAGTAATGGTGGATAGACTTCTAATGTTTGATTCAATATTCTACACTTTATTTTGTTTGTTTTCAAGAAAAATTGTGTGTGCGTGTGTGCATACATACATGCACCCTCTCTTGCTCTTGCTCTCTCTCTCTGTAGATGTAATTCTGTTCTCACCTCAGATTAATTAATTCTCAGACATCACACTGACTTCAAGAATGCTAATTTTTGAGAGACATACATGGAGGTGGATTTTATTTAGGAATGCTGCTCACTAATCTTAAAATCACCATATTGGTTATCAGTTGGCTTCCAATTTAAAATATGGCCATTAACTTTAAAAGTCCAACCCCAGAATACTTAAGAGCAGCCCCAGAATACTTAAGGCAGTGTCTTGTGAAAATTGAATCGCCATGTCCTGTCATTCAGAACAGGACTGTAGAGAGTCTCCTCACTTTATAAATAATAACCATTTATTAAACTTGTATGCAGAACAAGAGGCCTTCTTTGTGATAACCCCACTTTGTGTAACTTTCTCCCTGCCCAAGGAATTTGTGGTTCCAACCCACCTTGTATTTTCCAATCAAATTAAAATGGCTCTGTTTCAACATATCTTTTGCTCAGGTTGACTATTGGCACCATGATAGGAAATGCTTATAGAAAATTGTATTAGGTTTTTTTGGTGTACTTTGTTTGTCATCACTATTTTGTTATGCACTACCCGAGTCCATGAAGACATACATTTGCCTTCTGTATTTTTTTCCAGCCATTGAAACAAGACCTAGTATTCCAAACAACTCCTAGAAGAACAATAACTAGGTAGACATGGAGTGGAAAAAAAGAGGAATAGAGTATAAGGGATTATAATACCTGACTCAGAAAATGAAAAATGTTTTGCTTCACAATTTGTTTTAGATAGTTGGAGCTCCTTTATATGAGATTGGCCAACTTGAAAGGCATAATGTTAAGTAGGAGTATGCAAAATGTTTCTACCACAATACACATCAGTGTCAAAATGGCTGCTTTGAATGTTCTGAGTGTGAAACAAAACACATGCATCTTGAGAGTTTTGTTCCAAGGATACACTGTTTTGTTTCAAGCATGAAACAGAACACATTTTCTGTTTTATGCAAATCCCTACAATCCAATCAAATTCGAGCCTTTGTTGATGTTGATTAAACTACTTTATTTCTTTATTTTTTATTAACAGAAGAATAATTTACTTGGTATATAAGAAATACACCTGAGATGACATAGCTGCATTTCATAATGTCTGCTACTGGTCAAGAAAATGTCTGCAATCATGTGAAAGTAGTGATCCGTGTTCGTCCTGAGAATGCAAAAGAGAAAGATGGAAGCTTTCAAAAAGTGGTTCAGGTTGTTGATAAACATATATTGGTTTTTGATCCCAAAGTGGAAGAGGTCAGTTTCTTTCATGGAAAGAAAATATTGAACCGCAATATCACCAAAAGGCAAAACAAGGACCTAAAATTTGTATTTGATGCCATATTTGATGAACATTCTACACAGCTGGAAGTCTTTGAAGACACTACCAAAACCGTTCTAGATGGTTTTTTAAACGGCTATAATTGCACAGGTAACTTTCCTCAGTAGTCATTTGTCATCAGTGTGAATAATAATCCTACGTGAGTAACCCTAGTACATTCAAAGAAAACAAATGTACTTATTTAGTAGCTTTGTTTGTTTCCTACACTAATGTTTGCAGAAACCTCTTACAAAATGTACATCTTCCATATTTTCATTTTTGCTATTTTCTAAGATTTTTGGGAATAAGGCAAACCTTGGAGCATTTTGGTATTACATAGTTTGTTTTAATACTAACTCCCTGACCTTAAAAATTAAGTTGGAAACTTTCTCATTTCTTAATTACTAGATATTAGCAAAAATAATTAAGAGCTATGAACTTTTCTTACAGTTCTTTCTTGATCGTTCTGAATAGAGAAGCGACTTCAAACTTCTGCTCCAAATATCTGCTTTCACTCAAGAGAAGTGCTGATGTTTGCTTCAGTGTATTTGCTAGTCTATTTTGCATAAAATTATATTTTTTTCAGCTTGGTTGCCATATTTCCTGAACTACATTTTTGCAAATTGGCAAAATCCATTTGGTTGCTTGTGTTTTGTTTCAAATGTCAGGCTCATGAGTCAGAGTCAATTCAAAATTTCCCTGTCCATCTCACAATTTAGTGCTTGCTTATGGTGCAACTGGAGCTGGGAAGACTCATACAATGCTGGGTTCCCCTGAAGATCCTGGAGTAATGTACTTGACTATGATGGAGCTTTATAATTCCATTGATCGAATGAAAGAAGAGAAGCATTGTGCTATTGCAGTTTCATATCTTGAGGTAAGTAGATAAGAAATTCTGCACTATAAATTTTTTCAATAAAAAATTCTTAAGACACCTTTGCTGATGACTGAGGAAACACCATTTGGGTTAACATATGATGCTAAGTCATTATTTCCTTAATTCTACTGAATAAACTACAATTGGGTATCACAACATGGCAAGTGATAAGCCATGGTTTATAAAAGATAATCATTGGACTTGCACATGCCAGACAAATCACATTATGGTTTAGCACAATATGTGAGTTAATTGACCACCTCTTAGTTTCTTTCAGTCATCCAACAGCCTAAGAGATATTTCGTATGGTGGAGTCCCATGTTGCTAGATGGAGTATATACAGTTAGCTCAGCCATGTGGGTCTGCATCCAATTGACCACATGTGCCCCACTTTCATTTACTTCATCCAGAGGCAGCTATGTTTTTAAGTGAACACTGAAAGGTAGCCAGAGTATCTCAAAGAAGCAATAATGTTCCACGTTTTCTGTGATTTCTATAATAAAAGGAGATTCTTATGGATCAGATTTGAGATAAATCATTTTATGTAACCTGTATTGATTGCCAATCAATAACTGAAAGATTAAATGCATTTAAATATCAGCTATTATATATTCTTTCTTTGTTGCTATAGTTAGCAAACCATATAGTTATGTTTGGAGCAGTTGTATATTGAAGCATGGTTGAGTTGGAAAAAAGAAGATTTGTGCAGTCTAGTCTATATAGATATTGCAAATGGATACTTCTTCCCCTTCCTCTGTAAGGATCCTTTTATTGCCCTGACTTGCTTTCTTCTAGAATCTTCCAGAAAGAGCATCCCTCTTTTAGTCATCTAATGTTAATGCAGTATTCATATAAGTCTTATTACTTCTGACTGATTGCCTCACTTGTCCATGACCTGATCCTGCCGTATTTTAAGATTAACTTTCTAGAATTCAGTCCAGTTCAGGGAATCAACCCATGTCCAGGAACCTTGTCAATATCCTTTGCACAGCATTGCTGCTATTTTTAATTCCTGTTATATAATTTACTCTGTCCATAGTGTTGCCTTCACAGTTTTCATTGGTGTCTCTGAGCACAGACTTCTTTTCTAATCTTTTAGGAACTGAGTGTCTTACCTTTATAATATTAGCTAAAGGCCAAATGCTAACTACAAGTGGTATGATGTAAAATAGATGAAATTTACAGCATGAAATTTTGGTTAGCGTACAGAATATGTAAGACTGTGTGTGAGATTTATTGAACAGGCTCATTTGTCACCCATGACAAAAGTACATTGCTATCTTAATTCTTAAACTGATCAAGCATATTTACTATGGAAATTCTTATGATAGGTTGCAATTTATAAAGATTTCCTTTATTACATTACAATACACTAAATTGTTATTTCACAAGGCAGAGGATTGTTCTGTACCACAAAGAGTTCTAGTTGAATGAATAATTGAGATACAATTTCTTACAATTTCTAGTACTGCTAGCAGGCAAGGACAAAAGGATTAACACAAATAATGGAACTGATGAACCAGTTCAGTTTTACAGAATAACTTGCATATTCTCAGAATGCTTAATAACAGCTTGATCTGTGAGTATTGAGTTCTTGACAACTGAAAACAGCCTAAAGCAATGGTTTCCAATTATATGAGGTTGTGAGGGTACTGCAGATAGTTGTTGGCATGGGAGTTGAAATAAAAGCCCCCCCCCCATCTCATGAGGTCACTAAATTTTGTAACATTTGCAAAGTCTAGTAAGATATTGGTGTTCTTGCCCAAAAAATTACAAGTTTTCAAGCAGGAACACCAAACTCTTGCAATATGATGAGTTCATAACTTTTCAACTATTTAATTTTTTAATTTAAAACTAAAATTTTTTTTTTTTTATTTGGGATCCCATACATGCCATGGGGGGAGGTCATGTGTGCCTTATTACTCAGAGGCACTGTGATGCTAACCCCTGGCTTGGTGCTACTGAAAAGCACCAGTGTTGGACTAGGAGCAGAAATACCCAGGTTCCTATCCACCCTCAGCCCCCACTGGGTGACTATGGGTCAGCCATGATCTTTTAGCCCAATCTACTTCATGGGCCTACAAGGGAAAAATAGGAGGAGCACTGTCTATGCCGCCTTGAACTCTTAAATTAATGGCAGGATAAAAATCTAATAAATGAGTAAAGGGAGGAGTGCTCTTTGTTAAGGGAAACTGGCCTAGAGTACAAAAAGTGCAATGCTATCATGGCTCTTAAAAAGTAAGGCCTATCATGTTCAGTGGAATTAACTCTATGTTGCAACTTGTTGGAGATACCATATGCAGTGAGGCATACTTCCAAGTAAGCACTAGTAAGTACTATGTTTTTCCCTCTATCAAGTCTCCTTGTTTTTGTTTTACTGCTCCATGTAAAATCACCATACTTGTTTATGTTCATCTAAATGTTTTAGATATTTAGACAGAAAAGTTAGTCTTATCCAAGAGAACTTTACTGTATGCCATTCTGAGTTGCTGCTATTGCCAATAAATACAATTAGAAATGACATATATTAAAACTGGGGAGAGAGAGAAATAGATGCAGCATGCTGTATTAAGTTTATTCATTTCCAAAATTTTAAAATGCAACTAGTAGTAGAGCTATCCAAACCAAATTAAAGACAACATTTTTTCCTAGGTCTACAATGAGCAGATACGTGACCTATTAGTAAATTCAGGAACATTGGCTGTTCGAGAAGATCCTCAAAAAGGAGTACTGGTTCATGGGTTAACATTACATCAGGTATGCACATTTCTATATATGTGCCATCATTATCTATTAACTACTTTTTCCTCTTCTTTAAAATCTTTCCCTTCTATTTAAAAAGTATTCAAGTTGGCCAACAATGATTTAAAAAAAAAAAAAAAGCTATGAACACAACCAACATTTCAAGGTTCAATTAAACATATATATTATACACATATTTTAAAAATCAGTTGAACAGAAGAACTAGAACTTGTTAGATAGAAAACTAAATTCAGAAAACCTAGGCCTTCATCTTGCAAATTAAAAGCATTGTAGCTAAATACAGTTTGGTTGGAGATGGGTTCCACCAAATGGGAGCAGCCATTAAAAAGACCAGCTTTCTTCTGGTTTCTGTCTCACTGATTGACGAATGGAATGTTCCAATGCACTGCAAGTCTTCCTTCCCCACCTTCGCAGACAAGGCCATACCAGGTATGGTTCAGTAGTTTCTGAATATGAATCTTCTCAACTAGAAGTGGTTTGAAGTTGAAACAGGTGAGGCAATGTTTTATTCAAAATGCTGAACTATTTCTGGAACAGCATGATCTGAAAAATTCCATTCCTGAATTGGTGAGTTTCGCGCATCCCTAATCTTTATATTGACTTCAGAAGGGACCAGAATCTTCAGTAGCCCACCCTATAACATGTTTCTGTGGGAAACTGAAATGAAAAATGGTAACCTGATTTTAGTTCTTACTCTAGAAATAGAAATTAACTAAAAAGGAAAACTGCAACTGAGTAGGATGAAAGACTCCCAGGAGAAAAATGCTGTGGTTGCGATCTTGTATCTGCTGTAGATTATAGAACATGGAATAATATCCTGATATTGCAAAGTTTATATACAAGTAGAAACATAGGTTAAAAACACTATTTTGAAAATGTTGAGGAAGATTAAAGAAAGCCTGTATAGTTAACAACATTCATGCTTTGCCTATTTATTTTTACAGAGGGACATTTAAAATGAAAGAACTGTATAAATATTTGCACTTACTGTAAGGTACAGGTGGGTTCATACTTTAGACCAGTGTCTCTTAAACCTTTTGCTCTCAGCACCCCTTCCCACTTTTAAAAATTATGGAGGACCTCAAAAGAACTTTTGTTTATATGGGTTATATTTATCAATATTTACCATGTTAAAAATTAAAATGGATGCATTTGTGGAATATTTATTTATTGCATCATGTAAAAATAATATTAAACTCATTAGATATTAGCATAAACAAAATAGTTTTCATGAAAAATCCTATATTTTTTAAACAAATAAAATGTAATAATGAGAAGAGTGACATTGTTTTAAATCTTTGCAGATATCTTCAATATCTGGCAAATAATTCTGGCTTTGCAAGCCCCCTGAGAGGTTCTTGGGGGTCCTTGGATGATACTTTAAGAAACACTCCTTTAGACCGACCCATAATATTATCTGGAATTAGCTTAATGTGTTGTGTAACACATGTGGCATATGAACCATAATTTATTACTTAGCTTTTGTATGATGGGGACATTGGAGCTTATTCAACAAATCATGTCTAAATAAGCCGCTGCTTAATGG